AAAAATAAAGAAAGAAAACCTAAAAAAATCCTCCAGATTGAAGTGATGCCCTTTAAATGATAAACACCTAATTAAAATACTAAATTATAGAAAAATAATAAAAGCTAAAAAATTTTTAAAAACTTATTAAAGTAAATAAACATTTTATTTACTAATACAAATTTTATTTCTCTCAAGTTAATAACTATAATATAATAAAATTATATTACCATGTTTTTTTTTAAGCCATCCTAATGCTCTTGATACTTCCATCATTACTGCTGTCCCAGATGATGGATCTGCAGCACCATATGTCCATGCATCACGATGATTTCCAACAATAATTATTCTATCTAGAAAATAATATTTTAAAAAAAAGTTCAATTGAAGTTGATTCGCTTATAACTTTTAGTAACTTTTGCTTTTACAAAGATCTTTATATAAATTTATTTATAAATTATTTAAATTTATATAAATTCATAAAAATATAGTAACTATGATGATCATAAAATGGTCAGAACAACAAAATAATTGTTAATCAAAAGCACACTATGAAACATTTACATGACTTACAAAAATACTTTGAAAATTACATTAGCTAATATTTTGAAAAAAATCTTCAAACCTGGTTCAATTGCACCGCGGATTACTCCAATGACATTTTTTATTGAACGAACCTCTCGTGTTACATTTACGTGAAGTCGAACTTTTCTGAAGATAAGAATCTCATAGTAATAAGTTTTTAAAATATTATTATTTTTTTAAATTCAGCTCTAATAGAATAATTATCATGTTACTAAACTTAGTATTAAGTACATAAACAATCCAAAATCTGTTTATTTATAACTTTTACACCAGAAGGTGTAATAGTTAATTCAGTTTTGGCAGATTTTATTAAGAATGCAGCTAAAAACTTTTGATAATTTTAAAAAATTACATTGTCATCTATAAGGGGTCGTTCATAAATTATGTCAATTTTTGATCGCTTTTGACCTCCCTCTCCCTCATCACAAAATCGTAACACTTAAGTAGCAAGTTTTGTATAATTCGTCACAAACCCACCAACCCACCATCCCTCCTAATAGTGTGAAATTATTTTTTAACAACCTCTAACATCTTTTTATAAGGTTAAGATGTTATAGGAGATGTTTATCTTCTATAACATCTTTATATAACTAAGTTCTTTAATTACAGTTAGTCAATAGATAACTCAGATAATAAATTTTTAGTAAACAAAATATTGACACTCATCTAGTATTACTTGTTCTGGATATAATTCTTTCTCTTGATATGAATCTTTTTTACTGAAGACATATTAGCCTAATGATATTAACTTTTTTAATTTACATTATGATTCAAAATAAGTTATTTTCTATATTTTTTATACTATTAAACTACCATATCTTATGTAAATGTGAAAAAACTCCTAAAACGCAAACTTAACAAAAAATAAGTTAACAAGTCAACCATGTATTATTAAAATTTAAAGCTCTAAGCAGTGATGTTTTTAACCATGGTCAACAGGGACTGTTGCCCATAGACCACAATGTTTTAGAGGCCACTATATAGTTTCTCAAATAAAAATTAAATCTGAAAATAGTATCTGAAAAATTTATAAAAATGATGAAAAATGAATTATAAAGTGTATGAAAAATGTCTGAATTTGATTCATTTAATTTGCTTTATTGTTTAATAAATTTTCAACTCTTATTCTATTAAAAACAAAACAAAAAACTTGTGGAAACGTTGCCACTATTCATATTGAAAACTAGTTGAATGTGATACTTCACATTTATTGGCAGTCACATGATAATAGAAGGGCAAGTAAATAGAGAACAGAAAGTCAACAGGGTTCTACAAAAACCATGTCAATGAACAAACTATAAATAGTTAATCACAAATAGTCAATGAAGCTTATGTCATTAACAAGTGATGTCACCCTTCGACTGTTCAATTGATCCAGAATGGAACTGTAATAATACTTGTAATAATGAGATTGTGTACTCTGTAACGATAATAATGAGATTGTGTACTCTGTAACAATAATAATGAGATTGTGTACTCTGTAAGGATAATAATGAGATTGTGTAATCTGTAACGATAATGAGATTGTGTACTTCATAACTATAATACAGGCTTGGTCGGGAAGCGGGAGCGATCACTCTTGATTGCTGACCACGTAAATAATATTTAGTTGCGAAAAGCTGGCCAGATTTTTTAGTCATTTTGAGATCATTTTAAAAGCAAAAAAAAAAAAAAGCGCTTAAGATTAATTGGACCGATGAGAGACAATTACAAAAAAAAAAAAAAATTAGGTAAATAAAATATCTTTAAACGCGAAAAAACTTAAAGTTAAATAAATTACGTTTAAAACAAATATTTTCAAAATATCGCTCTTTTATAATTTTTTTTATAAAATTAAGCGATGTTTTTTATAAAAAGTAACAACTTACGATTGTTTAAAGAGGAAACAAATATTCTTTATTTAACAAAGTTTGCAAGTTTTAGTGTAATTTTTTTATTTTATAAATAATAAAGTTAATTTTTTCAATACCTATTTTATGTTTCGCGTAGTTTGAAAAGTTTAACATATAAATCATTGAATTACTATAGAAATTAAATTAACAATATAGAAATCAATTTAAGGTTAAAATACTTCATGACGAGGAAGCGAAATTGCTTCACAATATCGCTGGTGATGTTTAGTGAGTGGGCTTTTTAATTTTAATTAGTATTTAAAGCAGAAAAAAGTATAACGAGTTTTTAGAATGGCAACTTAAGCGAAAATAATTAGAGTTAGTAAACCAATATCTAGTAACTTTTCTTTATATCTAATTATTTGCTATATATATTTATACAAAGTAACTCGCAGATGAACAAGCACCGCGCCTCAGGCGCGGTGCTTGTTCATCTGCGAGTTACTTTGTACGCGTTGTTTGTGTTTAGTAACTAGAAACTTCTTATATGTTTGTTACGTAATTAGTTTTATTAACTATAACGATTATAACTTCATTGAAAATGCAATTATTTTTGTAAGTCTTTTGTTTGAATTGTAAAAATTGCTTTAAAAGATACATTACGATAAAAAACAGATAAACAAAATTAAATTTACATAAAGAATACATACTTTTTAAATAAAAAATAAGAATATAATAATAAAATCTATAATTTATAATAAACTTTTAACATTTTAACAATTTAATATATATTTAAAACTTTTATTTTTGTAAACAAATAATATATTTATTCTTAAAACAAGTTATGCTAGAAATCTCAAAACGTAACAAATCGTTTCTAAAAACATTTCAACAGATTACTCTTCTTAATTTCGCTAAGTCAGCGTATTTTTTGAATTAATAGAATTAGTTTCTTCGTTAATTTGGCGGGTTTTTAGTGTTCGCGAATATTCTTTTTATTCTTTCGCACAAAGATGTTTTGAGAACATTCAAGTTTATTATGTTTCCATGTATGTCCGTAAAACAAAAATTTTTTGTTTCGTACATAAACTTAAATGTTTTCAAAACGACTAAAAAACCTGGCCAGTTTTTCGCAACTAAATATAATTTCTGTGGTCAGTATTCGAGAGCAATCGCTCCCGCTTCCCGACCAAGCCTGATAATAATGAGATTGCGTACTAATGATAATAATGAAAGTGTACTCTGTAAAAAAAGGTTTTATTGTCTGCCCTGCTTTTACTTTGGCAAAACAAAAAAGCCATTTGGCAGATATAAATAAATACAGGAGATAGTAAAATGCTTAATCAATATTCAGCAATAATGAGCAACCATCAGAGCACAACAAAACAATTGGTGATTTGATTTCTTGTAGTCAATTTAAGGTATTAACTTAGACCATGAGTTTGTTAAGCAACATGAAATAGAAAGACAGTATTGGAAAAAGGCGCTTTGCAGAACAGTTTTATCAACAACAAAAAAATTGTGTACTGAGTATTATAAATCGTAACTTTACTATTCATTAAAATTATGCAGGTTATGAGCTTATTAAGGTACCACTCTGCAACCAGATCTAGACAACATTGAGGAATTGTTAATGCCAATAAAAAAAAAGGATGCATTGGTTGGTTGTTTTGGAACCAAATCTACTCAAGACTGCTATATGAATAATATTTGGATCTCATCAAATTTCAAACGTCACTAAAATTATAAACAACTCTCAAACGTCACTAAAATTATAAACAACTCTTAAACGTCACTAAAATTATAAACAACTCTTAAATATCACTAAAATTAAAAACAACTCTTAAACGACAATGAAAGACAATGTAATTCTAGAGAAAATTTAGCATCAAGTTACTAGAAGAGTTATGTCTATAAAGAGCCTGAAGAACAGCTAAGCTGTTTTTCAAAAATCAGAAGTTTCCATAATGCCATTTTTTATTTTATGCTAAATTATAAAAAAAGGTATAGCAATTTATTATAACCAGATTTTCTTTCAACCTTCAACCTGTTTTGCAGATAAGGACTGAGTATTTTATTTTCTGAGTATTTATTTTTTGAATATTTTTAGTGATAGTGACCACAATAAAGGTTAACAACTAAAAGTTTAAGTGTTTCTTGAACCCTTACTCAAAACTAAACTAGGGATTTTATATTAGAGTTTTCTTTCTCTTAGGTAAGTTGTTTTTACTGTGGCCTCATCTACCCAAATCATTATAACATATTTTAAATATATAACATTGATTTTTGAATCTAAAAACGTTTTTACCTTTTATCTTTAGATGTTAGATGATAAGTTAAATTCAAAGCACCATCCCATCTATTGCTTGGTGGAGATGCGCCATCTAGTATTCTAAAATATGAATAGTTAATGAAATGTTAAGATGTATCTTTTGCTTGGTGTGTATGCATATTGGCACATGTAATTTTAATATATGGTCAAACTTTTACAAGCTTAAAATTTTAATAAATTTTTTAAATCAAATTTTTCCATTTTTCTTTTTACTGGAAAAATTAACAATCGAACAGATGTTTATCTGACGAAATCAGAAACAGAAATATTTTTATGCTTATTGAGAAATAATTTTTATGCTTATATTTTATTATACATTTATCTCAACACTTAGTATTTATATTAAGATAAAAAATTATTGTAAAAGATACTATAATCAGACTTAACTATACATCTGGAAGTGTCTATTTGAGGTAATTAAAAATAGTCCACTAAATTAGGTTTTAGATAAAAATACACAATTTAAAAGTAAATCTATTAATAAACCATTTATTTTAGAGAATAATTAATGAATGAGTGAATGAGTAAACCTCTTAATGAATAAATGAGTGAATAAATAAACCTTTTAATGAATTAATGAATAAATTTTTTAGTGATTAAGTGAATGAGTAAACCTTTTAATAAATAAGTAAATGAGTAAACTTTTTACTTATTCTTATCAGCCATCAGAATTGGGAAAAATGAGATCGGCAATTTATTGCTGACCTTAAAATTTTTTACTTAAATTTACTGGTTTACTAAATCATGTCTGATGTAAAATCTACCAAACTTTACTTTTAGTAATAGCTAAATAAAGTTGGCCACTATGATAATATGTAATAATATACTATCATAGTAACCAACTTTATTTAGCTATAAGTAAAAGTAAAATTTGCTTTAAAATTAGTTTTGCAACAAAAATTGTGCATTACATTTGCATTAGGTAGAATTGCAACTAAAATTGTGGATAATATTAGGTAGAATTAAATTTTGTTATAATTGTACTTTTACCTCATATATTATATTACCTCATATAATCATATTATGTTAAATATACACATTTAACTGTTTCTTTTTTGTTTTGTCTTTTAAAAAGTGTTAGTAAACACCTCCATCTACAAACTTATGTTTAAATTTTCAATTTGCTAGAATCAATAAAGATGTAGCTTTTTTAGGGCTAACAAGTAGATGTAGTTTTTTAGTAATAGCAAAAAAAAATTTATCTGAGTAAATTTTTAGCTTGTTGCTTTTATTGTTTAGCTTTTAGCGTCATGCAGTGAATTCTGTGAAATTTCCTTTTTTTTTTTTACAGAATTTAGATACATGGTTGAACAGAATATGCAATATTAATGTTAAAGTTTTAACATTAACTTTATATAGCCAGTCTTTAACTTTTTGACATTAATTTAAAAGTTTTAATCCTAACTCTTAAGCTAGATTTAATTACTAAGTTTAGCAACCTCAAACATTTTTTTAAAACTTTTTTAAAAAATTGTTCGGCAAAAATTTTTATTAATTTTTGAGTCTTGATAATTTATAATTAATATGAAACTAAATCTTATGTTACCAATTACATGAAAAATTAATATGAAACTAAATCTTATGTTACCAATTACATGAAAAATGTTTAATTTCCAATATATGAAGCTCTGATAAAAAAAGATTTAAATGCTCATCTAAATATGCAAAAGTAAGTGTATATATGTACCACATCAGTTCACATGAATAAAGGAGTTTATGTGAATTCAACTATTTTAAGCTTGTGCCTTGCTATTTAATATTCTTTTTGAAACAAAAAAAAAAATTGAACAGAAAGACGTTGTGATTTGTTGATGTGGTAAAAACTTTTCATTTTAGGCTATTTTTTATATGTTTTATACTTGCATTATTTATAACTTGTTACTTGCCTGTTATTAAATGTTCTAAGCTTTTTAAAGTGAAATATAATTTTAAAATGTTCTGTAGTAAAAAGTGCAAACTAATAAAAACTAACTTTAAAATCTTTTCTGCATCACCAAATCCTATTGGCTGCACAGGTACATTAGGAAAGTAAGTTACTTCTTCTATTGGACGCTTGTACAAGCCATCTATGAAAATATAAAATATAAATACATTATTACTTTAATTTGAATATAAATTTTTAAATTATCATTTTTATTGTTGAACAATATGCATACTAATGCATACAATATTTTTTTTGACAACTTGGCTACAGACTTTTGTGTATATTGATATTTTAGGTATCATTAGAAATGCGCTGAAAAAAACCAAACTAACTTAAAGAAAATTAAAAACAAACCATAAACTGAAAGAAGAAATAAACTTAATGAATGATAAAATAAATAAAGTATAAACCAGAGAAAATAAAAGCACAAAACTAAAATACTTTTTAATTTAGAAGCATCTTAATTAATAGTTCAAACTTAAGTTTGCATCAAATGCCCCATACTTTCAAAAATTATTCTGTCCCTATTCTTAAAACTTTTTATTGGTTATCACAAGCAATTCTGTTTAATTTTTTTAAAAATGAATGAGATTTAGAAGGGCCACCCTCAGAAAGGTATTTATATTCTTGTCCTTGGGGAACTAATCCCTTAAGCGCCCTCTTTTACAAATGACTGTTTACTTTGATATGGGGTGATTTAAAAACAAATATATATATTTTCAATACAAACATATATATATTAAGTTACTAGCTTACCATTGAAAAAAAATTATAATTTTCTACATGAGTTTTTGTTTTGCAAATAAATTTATAATATCATTAAAGTTCATATCTATGGTATGTGCAGATTTAATAGATAGAATTGCTAACCTACTAACAATTCACACCAGTCATTCCCGACCTTAAATAAGACTTAATCCTCTTTAATGCTAAAAATGTTCTCTCGGCTGAACAACTGGAAGATGGGGAGCATAGATATATCCTTAATAATATATCTACTTATAGTAGATATAGCATAAAGGATATATATATATATATATATATATATATATATATATATATATATATATATATATATATATATATATATATATATATATATATATATATATATATATATATATATATATATACATACAAGTCTTTCACTTATATAGTTCTTGAAGTTTATAAGTTCTGATCATTTTACAAATATCTATTATAGTTTTAGGTCTTGGATTTTCAGTTAGATTTATTAAATAATTTTTGAATTGTATACACTTGTTAGCAAATGAAGTCGAAAGATTATATATATATATATATATATATATATATATATATATATATATATATATATTATATATATATATATATATATATATATATATATATATATATATATATATATATATATATATATTGAAGTATTTCTGCTTTTTTGTAAACTTCTGATGGTGATAGTTTTATTATTTGAAACAACAAGTTAAATTTTTATTGGCTTCATCGTAACGCAACTTTTTTCTTTCTAGTTCAGAATGTAGTCTATCAATAACAGCCTAATATGTATTAATCCATAAAGACTCTTGATTTTCAAAATTTATTTCTCCTTCTCTTTTTTCATCTGCAATTAGTTTTCTTTTTCTTTTGGGTATTTTTTGATATGTTTTGTGTTCCAATTTATTGATTGCCCTGTCTTTCTTCATAGATATCAAACGTACTACTCATATCTAATACATATTGAACTACCAATTTGTATAAACTTACAACTGTTTCTAAATCAATCTTAACTGACTGCAATTGTTTACTAGTTTTGTTGAATCTTTCTAGTATATCATATCTTAATATGGCCATTATAACCGTTTCAAGATAGTCTATTAGCTTCTGGTCTTGTGACTGACTTTTGTGATTTATCATCTTTGATAAAAGACAGTGCATTAATTATTATACTGCAATTTTTGTTTAAACTAATTTTTGCATCAGATCTGGTTGACTACCATCTTATAGTCTTTAAGTGATACATTTTCTGTTTTTATTAAATTGTTCCGAAGTATTTCTCATCTAAATCTAAAAACACTGAAAAAGTTATTTTGAAGCAAAATAACTCTGAAGAATTTCAGCCCACAACGCATCCACCATCAAGATTTAATGTGTGTGCCAAGTATGGTGCAAATGTAGCTAAAGGATTAACTTTTTTAATGCAAGTTTGAAGTCCTGCATACCTACAAAACATGTTAGACGCATTGTAATCATAATGACAACTATTGTTTATATCTAATCCATGCAATTCTAAAACTAAAAATATAGCATCTGCTATTTCTTCAGTTTTATGACCAGAGTCGGGTAAAAACCTTAAAAATCTTTCTTCTGGACAGCCATTCTTTTGAACATACCAAAAAATGAACACAGTTAATCTACACGGCTAATATCAGAAGTAGAATTAATACTGATGGAAAAATATTTAGCTTTCTTCATTTCTTTCACCATTTGTTGTATAAAATTGCCTACCATTATACCTATGAACTGCTCATATATATTAAAAGATAGGTAGGTTCCTCTAAAAATGATAGGATCCTCTAAAAAAAGGGTCAAACTGAGCAACATGACTTTGTTTTACCAAATCAACATTTTCACATGAATAATTTGCTCTTTATTTATTTATTTATATATATATATATATATATATATATATATATATATATATATATATATATATATATATATATATATATATATATACAGGGCCTGAAATAGCGAATTTTTCTAACATACTATTTGTCCAGTAAAGAATCAAGTTTGCTGGACATGTCCGATAAAAATTAAAAAAGTGCGATCAATCGCCATTCCTGAACAGACCTAAGATGTTTTGTTTTTATAACTTGACCACGTAAGTTGTACTGACAACTCTAGGCATTTCAAAATACGCTGAAAATAAAATGAAAATTTCAATAATAAATTATCTATCAAAAAGAAAATCTTAAAGATATAAAAAAATCAAAAAACTAAAATTTAAAAAGGAAAATATACATTTTTTAAAAACTTATATTATGCAAAATGCTTTGTAAATTATTAAATACATACATAATTATTAAATTATTACGTAAATATATATACATACAAAATTGTTAAACTATTACGTAAATATATTAAATACATAAATTATGTAATTATTAAATACATAATATGTAAAATATGTAATAAGAATGTACAATAAATACAAAATTATTAAATACATCAATTACTATGTATTATACTAAATACATAAATTATTAAGTTATTACTTTATTAAATATTACTTATTACTTTATTAAATAAAGTTACAAATTAATTCTAATGTTTACAATAAACACATTTTATTTAAATTTTCAAAGTATAATATAGGTATTTACATTTATTTAAATATGTATTTTTTTTTATAAATATTTTTAAACTTTTTCTAGGATTAATTTTATTGACACTTTTAATAGCGAAAACTTTTAGAGCGAAAACGAGCGCTACATAACAGCTCAAATTTAATTGTGTAATTAAAAGTACTGGTTTCTATATAGAAAGCTTTAAAATAACTATGACATTAAAATTTTTATAAAAAATTTAAATGGGATTTAAATTTATATATATATATATATATATTTATATATATATATATATATATATATATATATATATATATATATATATATATATATATATATATATATATATATATATATATATATATATATATATATATATGTATATATATATATATATATATATATATATATATATATATATATATATATATATATATATATATATATATATATATATATATATATAAATATGATGTTTTAAAATAATATAAATATATATATACCTGGTCATATAAAGACGTGCGATCACACGTCTTTATATGACCAGGCAAATTACATTTTGCTATGACGATTTGACCGTGGCTATTTCAAAAAAACAATGTAAAATAAAAAATATTCTAAAAAAGTGAAATTACATCAAAACTTTTAAACAAATATTTTTATATTAAAAAACGCTTTTAAATAAAGTAACAATTTATTGATAATGGTTTTTAAACAATATATAATTGATAGTTGTATATATTTATAAACAATTTATAAATACTAAAAATCAAATTTATAATATATAAATTGATCAAGTCTCGTTAAGGAATTTTAATATAAGAATAATTAAAGTCAATACATTTAAAAAGATAAACAAAATTTTGTTGAAAAAAAAAGACTTTAGAAAGCTGTTACAATTAAACAAGTTTGATATTAAATGCTCTTATATTATCGAAACGCTTTTCAAAGAAGTAACAAAATTTGTTTGTTAATACTTATTTTAAAAATTCATTTGCTTCCAAATGAATTTTTAAAATAAGTATTAACAAACTGTTGTTTTTTTATTTATATAATTATGTACTTTTTATGATAAATGTTTATCTTTTGAAACATTAAATAAAAGAAAACAAAGTACAAATGTTTAGACAAAGAATGAAATGGTTTTTAATGCGTAAAATAAATAGACTAAGCAATTTAGTTTGATGAGTTTTGTTTTAGTTAGGTTATTATTTTTATTTTCTCTTTTGCTAAGATATTTTGTCTTTTTTAAAGTTTTTTTTATATAAATTTAGGTAAGTTTTTGTAGCGCATTTTTAAATTTTGAAAATATGTTAAAAGCTGTGGTCAAATCGTCAAAACAAATTATTTTTTGTGTGGTCATATAAATAAAGACTGATATATATATATATATATATATATATATATATATATATATATATATATATATATATATATATATATATCATATATATATATATATATATATATATATATATATATATATATATATATATATATATATATATATATATATAATATATATATATATATATATATATATATATATATATATACTTTATACAGCAAATATTATTTTTACCAAGCGATGGATACCCTCTTGTTAATGGATCTCCTCTCATTCGCAATAATGTACCTCTCTGGACACCATCTGGAGGTAGATACCAAGAATCCGGGTAGAAAACACCAGTAGGCGCATAAGTGTCAGGATCAGAAAATAGAATAATTCCGGAAACATTTTTTTTTTCAGCATACTTAATCTAAAATATTGAAAGTGTTTGTTTAAAATTGTTTTTTGTTAGAACTTAAAAATTGCGCTAACATAAATATAATTTTAAAATAAATTTAAATTCAAATTATCAGTTAACTTTAATAAATTAAACCAATTATTTTTGTTTAATTAAATTAATTTTTTTTTAATTATTTATAATTGAAGTTATATTTATATGTAGTATTTTTTTAATTTTTACCTTTTTATTTCTTGATATAGTACCATATCTAACTAGAACAATTTTATTGCTTAAATCAATTCCCATTTCCTCCAATTTGTTGAAATCATGTTCAGTGCCAAAGTTTGCATAAACAATTTCACCCTTAAAAAAATACGTAAAAGAATGCAAAACCTGCAAATGATTATTTTTAATCTAACTATTTACCCATAAAATTAAAAATTACAAAGTTAATTTTAATTTATAAAGTTAGGTTCAGTGTTATTCATATAAATAAAAACTAGTCAATGTAGTGACATCTTAATAAAATACACAAATAAATCAATAATCAAACAACCATATTATTATATACTACAATTATTAAAATATTTAATATTTATACAAAACATAAATTAATTTTAAAATAAAAAAAGATAGAGACAGAAATAAGACAAAATTAAAAATCGGTAATAACAATTAACAGTAATAACTAAAAAAGCAAGACTAATGAAAAAAGTGAATGCATAGAATAACACAATATTGAATAAGATATGCTAAGAAACAATATTGTAAACAAATAAAATTGAGCAAAATAAATGCAAACATAGAGTTATAAAAAAAAAATTATACACACACTTTGGCATACAATATTAACTCTATATTATATCTTACATGTAATAATGAAACAACAGTTAACATTTTATATTTTCCATTTTTACTTTTTTCTTTGAAGGTGCATAATGTTTTGTTTCATTTTTTGTCTTGTTCTTTTATTATCCTTTATCTACTTTTAATCTTTGAATCTTGTTTTCACTTTAAATTTTTTATAATTTGTACCTCTTAAATAATTTATAATATTTGCCATTATATATGATTTCAAACCATATACATATATTTAATATATATAATGTATATATATATATATATATATATATATATATGTATATATATATATATATACATATATATATATATATATATATATATATATATATATATATATATATATATATATATATATATATATATATATATATATATATATATATATATATATATATATATATAGACATATATATATATATATATATATATATATATATATATATATATATATATATATATATATACATATACATATAATATATATAATGTATATACATATCTTTATTAGAAGTTTCAAAAAATATATCATTAAAAATTACAATAGCATAAATATTTCAATTATAAAATATACATGCTTCTTTATACAGCATGTTGTATATACTTTACATAGCCCTCACTAACCTGTATGTAATTTTCTTACTAAAACAATATATTCTAATTTAACTTTTAAACCTGGAATTTCTAGCTACCGTTTTATATATAGACTAAAGGTACTGAATATAAAAAAGAATTACTACAAACCTCAACAACACCTGAGGCACTGTATGCCAAAAAGGGTGGGTAAATCTTGCTTTTAGTATCATTTCTTTCAAAATCATCTAATATCTTTTCAGTAACAGAAAACTTTTCAGAAACTTTTCCATGTTTATCAAACAATGTTATATTACCTAAACACATAAGCTCTATAAAAACTTTCATAGATTAACAGAACCAGCTATTAGAATTTTAAGTGAATATTTCCATTAATTATAAAACAACCATTTGAAATAATTTTTTTTCAAATTATTCAAGTATTTAATTCAAATTATAAACAATTCAAAATATTAAAATTTGAAACTAAATTTAGAATAAGTAAAAAATGTTATACTCATTCTTTAACAACACACAAGAATATAAAACTGATAAGAGAGAGGGAAATGCTACCTGGACCAAGTGGATATGAAAGTAGGACATCATATGTTTTAATCATAACTTTATCTAAATTATAGCTTTTAAAATGGGAAGCAATCCAATCTGCTCGAACATTGTTTTCACGAGTTCCAGCCAAATGACCAGATTTAGTCAAATATCTATTAAAACAATATGAATGCATGGATGTGAATATATGGATACTTAATATAATATGTTGAATGGTATAAGCAAAACTTCTATTCTAAACAAAATAAAAAGGATTAAATAATTGCTTTATTAAACAAAGAAAAAATTTCTAGAATGAAAAATGCTTTTAAACTGACTATTCTTTATTTTGAAAAAATTTGAAACACTTTTTTTCTTTACATACATATATATACTTTTTTCCTTAACATATAAGACAACATATAGCGGTCAACAAATTACAATTTTTTATAGTGTTAAATGATTTATACACCAATTTTTTATTTATACAAATGACATTGTTTGTGTATGTTAATCATTAGCTAAATCCCAGCATCTTTAAATTTCTAAATTTTCTGAAAATGTTAAGTATCATTTATGTAACTGTCAGCAATGTCACCTATGATGAAGCAATATTTAATCAGGGATACACCTATTGAGTTTTCTTTTTCTAATAAATTTAGATCACCACTTAAAAACATAAAAAAACACATAAACGCATACCTATGTCTGTTGTAGTAATCATACAGACAAAATATAGAAATCCAAAATTATAGGTAAACTTGAAAAAAAAAAACTTACTCTAGATTTTCAAGAATATTTGAGGCATAAATTTTATCAGCAACTAAACGATGAAATTTTAATCGTTTCTGCTCAGAAAAAATATTCTTTATTGATGAATTTTCTCTATCACTTTCTAAATCTGGTGAGATTTTGACACTTTGACCTTTGAATGGATTGAGACCCTCCTCATTTAATTTTTCATCTTCTTTTTGTTCCTGATGTGAAAGAGGCGGTTGTGTTACATGAATTATTGGAGTAACGACATAATAATTAGGATCATCTCTATTAAGAAGTTCTCTTCGTTGAATATGGATAAAAATGTTGTTTTTGTAAACAAGAACACCACTGATTGTTGCAATAGTTAAAAATAAACATGCAAAGCATATGTACTTTAATTTATTTGAAATTGTTGAATTGTTATTAAAATATTTTTTAAGTATTAATTTTAAAGAAGTCTTTTCTTTTGAATCTTTTATAATATCATCATCACTTGCAGCATATTCCATCACATTACAAAAAATTTATTTAATAATGTGTTAAAGTCATTATGAGAAAAATTATAACAGTTAATACTGAAAAAAATGTTTAAATAATTAATTTAAATGCACGATATCCGTATCAATTGTATTTTATCGAAAGAAAAAAAATGTTGAACAAATTCTTGGAACTTGGTCTCAAAATATCACAGCAAGTATTTATGGATAAGTTAACTAATAATTAATTAGTAAAAATAAAACTCGAAATGTCTACACAATGATAACCTGGAATAAATTTCTTTACACGCGTAATAAAATTATGTAAACATATTTTTTTGTCGGCTTAAATCCCGCCACAGAAGAAACATGCCGACTATTTAACCTGCGCGTTATTCAACCGTACACATTTTGATCACACAATAGGTGTTTATAAATGGTTGGATTGGTACTAATTCAGTTGCTAAAATAATAGAGCTAATCTTCCACAGTTTTTACGACATCAAAAAACTAAATATTTTATTAATTAATTTTTGATATTTGGGGAATGATTGTTTCCAATAAATTATATTTTTCTAATAGGGTAAAAGAGGTAATTATGGACACTGGCAGCTTGGAAAAATTGCTTTTCTGAAGTGTACTTGTCTTTAAAGTTAGTTAAGTTGTTAATATAGTGAAGATGACTTTTATTGATAGCTGTTGCTTTTCAATCACGACATGAACTACGCAACCTGTTCAATTGGTTGATTTTTATAGACAAGTCATTAAAATTTTTGTATAAAATGTACAACTTCAACTGGACTAGAAATATTTTTTCAAAAATGTGGAAAAATCTAAAATCTTTTTTATATTAAAAAATAAAGGCTCACGTGAGAGCCCCTCTAGTTATCGTCTCATATCAATCAGTTCAACTCTAGCTTGATACTTTGAAAAAGTGGTAACAAATCAATTGGTTAACTATTGTGAGACCTTCAAATTACGTACCTAAAAAAGACGTCTTTTGAAAGTCCCAAAGACGTCCAAAACGTTCAAAAGGCAGCCAAAACTTTCTAAAGACGTTTAAAAGATCTCTTTTGTGTGTCCCGTGCCCACTGGGTAAAACATGCAATCGTTAAATTCAAAACGATAAAAAATTAAAATAAAAAAAAAAATAGTTCAACTTGAAGATTATAAAAGTGCTTTTTATTTTAATATTTTTCATTATTTTGAATAGCGAACATTTACGCTAATTGACTACATCAACTTCTGCGCAGTGTTTTTTACAATTTTTTTCCCAACTAATGAATGAACTAATAAATACTTAATTTCCCTACTTTTTCCTTACTAATTTTTTTTCCTACTATAAAACTCTCTAATCAAATTTTTAGCTGTAATTATTGTTTTGCCACTCTTACACAAATATCCTTTGCCGATTCTCCAAAATGTCTCAATGGGACGGAACTGTGTGCAGATTAATGGATTCAAGCTTTTTGGTATGAATTTGAAGTTTCTCAAATTGTACTAATTTTCTTAAAATAATGACAAGAAGCAAGATTAGGCCAGAACTTTCAGGGGACATCGTGATTTCGAAAAAATTGCAAAAGTCTAGCTTGCAAGTATTCAATGATGTAAAAATCCGGGTTTAAAGTTGACGATGAGACAAAAGCTCAAAATCTCAAACCACAGCTTTTGTATATTGCTTGCCAAAATTTTATCTTTAAAAAACTCTGAAACTTTATACCTTATGGCTTGTTCTTTGTTTGATAAGCCGGGGTTTTGATTGATGATCGTCGGATACTAATTGCAGCTTTCTTATCCTTAAAGCCACTCTTTCTTCCAGATCCTTTTGCTCGTTTGATAGATAGAGAGATCATGTATTGTTTTATGCCCATACAAACAATAGTTTTGCTAGATTCAGATGCTTTAGCAATTGAAAGTAACGGTGCAGAAGAATTAAGTAGATTGTTGTGCAGACTTTTTATTCGTTTTTTTTTTAACTGTTTCAATCACAATTTAATTAATAGAAACATTTTGACTCGTTTGTTGATGTTTTTAATTAATACTGTAATTACTTAAAGTAATTACGCAAAAAAAAAAATACATTAAAAATGTGTTAGTGACAAGTTTTAAAACGAAAATCATCGTTTCAAGTTTAACGATCGCATACTTTAATATTTTAAAGATATGAAATAACCTTTGATCATTAAATGGCGCATCAAATATTTAACAGCGTAGTATTAGTATAAAAATATAACTTAAAGCATATAATATAATATAAAAATATAATATATAACAGTAATTTTTCCATATATAATTTCTTTTTTTTTTATAAATAGCATATTAAGAAATACTATTAAAAAATAGTATTTTGTTGAGTACAAAATCGGTAAAATAGTCACTTTTATGACGTTTTGGCAACACCGAAACTATTAGAAAAACTAGAAATTCAATGTTAAACAATAAATAAAAATTGTCTAGAGTAAAAAAATTAAAAAATATATATTCTATTCCTTAAAAAAAAATACGAGAGCCGAGGGCTGCTTGATTTTTGCGGCTCCGGCTCCGGCTCCATCAAAAAACAGCGGCTCCCTGGCTCCACGGCTCCGGCTCCGGCTCGGCCCTACAAGCCTGCCAGTAACATGCATCCATTTTAAATTTGGAATCAAAACTAAAAGAAATAATGTTCAAAGTAACAAAGATCTTTTATAAAGTATTAGGAAAATCCCAATACTGTGTAAATGGACAAATAGTTAAGTGATTTGGTATGTAGTATTATTGACACGATATTTTTAAAATGCATGTCAGTGCTGTCATAGAGCCGGAACAGTCCGGAATGCCGTTCCGGTACTTATATATATATATATATATATATATATATATATATATATATATATATATATATATATATATATATATATATATATATATATATATATTATATATATATATATATATATATATATATATATATATATATATATATATATATATATATATATATATATATATATATATATATATATATATATATGTATGTATATAAATATATAAATATATATATATATATATATATATATATATATATATATATATATATATATATATATATATATATATATATATATATATATATATATATATATATATATATATATATATATATATATGCCATCTCCTAGAATTTTTATTTCTTATTGATTTATTTCAAAACTCAAAAATGTGGAGATGGAACAAGATAATTCTAACGTCGCGTAATGATAACTGTAAGTTTAAGCGTAACACCCAAATGTCACACCTTCTTCTAACTTCCACATCAGGGATTTCATTATCCCCTAATGATAGACAAAATTTGCCATGTGCTTTCTAATATTTATTTAAGCTATATTCGATGCTTTAATCAAGTTTCCATTGGTTGCTCGTCCTCTTAAGTTCGCGTTCGGATTTTATATATGTTTCAATTTGGTTGCTTTGGTATCTAATTTTGCATAGCAACAATCTATTTTTACATTAACGTTATTTTGACAGTTTTTTTGTTTGCACTAGGTACAATATATTGAGTTATTGTATTAAAATGAGATTCTCACTTCTTTTTAATACTTTTATTTGGTTGCTATGGATACCTTTCTTTACAATATATTTTTTATGTATATATAAAATATGTTGTAACCAATGTAAAAGTACGTTCGCACAAATTTAAAAAATATTTTCAGATAAATGTTTGTTTTTTTAGTTTATCAGAATTAACAAGTACTTATTAATACCTAAATGTTTTGAATAAATAAATTTTAAAATAATAAAGCCATACCGTCTCACTATTTGCCTTAATTTGCCGGCTTATCGATAGAAAAATTATATTTTTGACTTTGTCGCAGCAAATATAAAAGTGTATACTTATAAAAGAGGTGTGGTGTCTCCTATGCACACTCATCTCATCCCTTATGCACTGAGAAAGGCGGGCTTGTTCAGGCACCTTCCTTTTGAGAGTTCGCAAAAAAATGTTTTTTGCTATTGTTTTCAATGTTACTCATTTCGCGTGTACCCGTCCATCGTGATAATAGTAAATTTATTTAATGTATCACTAAAAAATACTGCAGATGCGTGCACCTAATACAACAAAATTATAAAAAAACGTAAAGGCGTATTTTTATAATTTTGTTGTATTAGGTGCACGCAACTGCAAAGAAATGAAGTATAAAGAAATTCCAAAAAGAGCGCACGCTCTTTTTGGAAGACCCCTTTTAACCAAATAATAGATTAAACTAAGTTAGGTTGAAACTTTTTTCCGATGAGCAAGTTCAGGTTTCGCGTTTTTTATAAAATCCTAACCGCATAAAACATAACAAATTTTGCTTTAATGTATTGAAAAAAAATAATTAATATAATAAACCTATTAAATTATCTACTTATTGCAAATTATTATAAGTTTAAATAATTCGGGTCTGGGTTTTACAAAAAACGAGAAACCTGGATTTGATCACTGGAAAAAAGTATCGACCAACTAAGCTACGTAATTATTTTTTAACATATCGTTTTTGTTTTTGTTTTTTGTTAAGAAAAAAGAAAAAGCTAAAGTAAAAAAATTTTAAGTACTTTATTGGAAAATTTATTTTTTTACATAATAATTTAAAAAAATGTAAATATTTTTCGGGCGCATTTTTTTGGGACGTGTTTTGGTCCATCGGTACCTAAACACGTTTTTTTTAAGTTATATAAAGTTTAAAAAATCGAAAAAGTTAGTATTCTAAAGAAAGATTAAAAAATAACATATATAGACCGATTATATATATTAGATTAAACTACCATTTAATATAATAAACAAGTTTAAATCTCAAAACTGATAAAGGAGATTTATACGAAAAACCATACCGCGAAGTTAAAAATATTAAACGCCTAATAGAAGACTCTGTGACAAACACGCGGACAAATGAGTTTTAGAAGTAAGTTCGACATTTTATTAAATTATATAATAAGATATAATTAAATGCAGTCTCAACCAAGTTTCGTGAATTCATTCATTCATTCAAAAAAAAACATAATTTAATTATAAGTTGTTGCTATCGCCCACCTTGTGGCCAAATTAAAAAATTCAATTTATTTTTAAATGATATTTTAAGAATTAGCACTCAAGAAAAGAAATTATACTACCTAATAGGTGATATTAATTTGGATTGTTTTCAATGCCAAACCAATTGTGGGATTAAAAATTTTTATAATGATTTATTTGAACATTTTTTTCTCAATTAACATTGCCACAGCAAAAATACCCCAACAGAATGTAACGTTTACAAAACGCTTTTTTACTTCAGCGAATTTAAATTCATTTAAAGAACAGTTA